AAAATCTTCCAACAGGACTCAGCACAATGGTTACAAAATAAGGTTCCTCGCTTCATTTCCAGCGCAGAATGGCCACTAAAATCTCCGGATACTAATCCGTTGGACTATTGTGTCTGGAGTATTTTGGAAAGCAAGGTTGGCACTAAAAAATACCAAAGTTTCGATCACCTCAAGCAAGCGCTTTGCCGGGAATAGGACAAAATACCGCAGAGCAAGATTCGGGCAGCGTGAGACAGTTTCATTGGCCGTTTAAAGGCCATAATTCGTGCCAAATGTGACCAATTCGTGCAAATCTAAACTTATTCTAAAATTTGATGCTATTTCCGACATTTTTCGCTTTCATTCAATATAATGTAAAACTTATCACTTTTGATTTTATTGCATTTTTTATCTCACCCTGTAATGTTGAAAAACTTGTAAAATTTGATTGCAAAGGTTTACTTCTTTATTCTACCATGTATTTGTCATATGTTTACAACTTTTTCAAATGCAAACATTTGACAACATATCATTGTCAAAATCTATAGGCATAAATCCATTGTGTACACACAAAATCAGAGATGGGAACTGTTTTTTATGCTTTGAAATTTGACAAGGTTAATTATAGAGAATTCAGAGCTGGGAATGCTAATTTAAAATGAGGTTACCTTTATTTCATTGTACCATGGTATTAGTCTTAAGGTGAGAGTACATAAAGGACTTTTCTGACAGACTTATGTCATCGGCTGGCTTCTTTGTAGAGGAACAAAGCCAAGACCTAAAATGGTAGACTAGACAAAATGCAGTTTGAGTAAAGGGTTTGTGTCTACATGACAGCTCATGACAGAGGCATGTTTTTATAAAAAAGTTCAAAAATGTGGTTTCAAAATTCTACTCCATAGACCTTTCCAAAAATTTGCATATTGCCTAAGGCAGGAAATACATAAACCGCTTAAGCTGGAAATACATAAAACGCATATTTGGCTGGATTAAGTCATCGGCTGGCTTCTTCTTAAAGGAACAAAGGAGTTTTAGGTTGACCTAGTTCGATTTTGGCCCTAGGCTCCTTTGTTCATTTCCGAAGAAGCCAGCCGATGACTTAAGCCAGCCAAATAACACTTTATGTATTTCCAGCTTAAGCGGTATAAATCAGTTGACACCATAACAACACAGGTATTTTCACAGGGTTGATATTTTTTTACTCTGTTTTGTCCTATTTTTATATTTCTATGTCTTAGAACAAAGGAGTTTTAGGTTGACTTAGTTCGATTTTGGCCCTTCGCTGCTTTGTTTTTTCCGAACAAGCCAGCCGATGACTTAAGCCATTCAAAAAAAGAGTTTTATGTATTCTCACCATTATTTTGTTTTTTTTTTTTTATTATAAAATTGAACCACTCTTCTAGGATCTGCCCTAGCGGGATTGTTTGTCCCATATATACGAAATTTTGAAACGCTCTAATCGAATCCATTTAATTTGATCAAATCCATTAAACTCAATTCTTGTAGTACAGACGTATTTAGATTAATACTATCTAGTATCTAACATCTAGCAACAAAATACGTTGCCCCACTGCCAGAGAAAACCGGAAAAATCTGGAAAATAGACACCACTTAAAGTGGTAAATCTACGTCAATTCAATATATAAATGACATGTGATATAAAAATATTGTTTTATCTGTAGAGGCTCTATGTGTCATAGGACAACAAACAAAGGAATGCCGAAAGCGTATGGGTGATGTTAACGTATAAACTTCTGAAAATAGGAACAGGGTCTTAATTTAATTTTTTAATTAATTTAGGCTTATTTTTCTTGCACATTTAAATGTTGGAGTGCTCTAACGATAGCCACTTGTGGTTTTCCAGCCAAATATAAAGAAATCACACTATCACGCATGAATTCCATCACGAATAAATTTTTTTCTTGGAAAATTTTCAGCAAAAAGCTTTTGTACGCTTGTAAACAATATAATGAAGTGTCACTGGAATAATTTTAACAGCTGTCGGACGAGTAGCTTAGAAATGAAAGCAGTCTGAAGTTGGTTGCTGTTTTCTCATATCACCCTGCATATTTGTGTATGGTAAATCAGGTTGAAAATTAAGCAATAAATCCTGATAATTGGTCTGTTCCAGAACTGCTAGAATGTAAAAGTTTTTACTACGGTAGCCGATTTTCCCTGTATGATATCGAAAAAAATGCAAAATTGGAACAGAGCAAATGTGGGTTAATCTGGATAACATTAGAAGCAATTATTTGAGATGGGTGCGGATTGGGCACAATCCTCATAGCGTTGTACCTTACCAACTGAGAAAGTCCATGTAAGAAAAAGAGCTTTTTTACTGGTTTAAGTCATCGGCTGGCTTACTCGTAAAAGAGCAAAGGAGTTTTTGGTTGATTTATTTAAATTTCGGCCCATAATTTATACTTACTTGCTTCTACCTACGCTCCTTTGTTCATTTGAAAAAAAGGCAGACGACGACTTAAGGTGGGAATACATAAAGCGCTTATTTGGCTGGCTTAAGTCATCGGCTGTCTTCGTCGGAAATGAAGAAAGGAGCCCAGGGCCAAAATCGAACTAAGTCAACCTAAAACTCATTTGTTCAAAGACATAGAAGTGTAAAGATAGGACAAGACAGAGTCAAAATATTGCCACCAGGTGTAAATACCCCTGTTGTTACGATATCATAACAACATAATCACCAATGTTAAGTTGTTTTAACAGCAAATGCAATATTCAAACGTCAGTGAAATGCAATTTTAGTTCAAAATTTTAGTTTACAGAAAATTTTATTATTAAAATTGCTCTGTATATATAATTTTTATACCAACATGTCACTGTTGTGAGCAGCGCCTCTATATATTTTTTACATTAACTATTTTTCCATTATGCATTTTGTCCAGTCTTTACCATTTTAGGTCTTTGATTTGTTCAAAGACAAAGAAGTATAAAGAGGGGACAAGACAGATTCAAATTCAAAATATGGCAACCCTGTGAAAATGACTCTGTTGTTGCGATGTCATAACAACATAATTACCAATGTTAAGTTGTTTTAACAGAAAATTCAATTTTCAATTAATTGGAAACGTCAATGGAATACAATTTTGAGGTCAAATTTTTGGTTTACAGAAAATATTATTCGAAAAACTGCTCTGTAATTATATTTTTATGCTAGCATGTCTCTGTTGTGAGCAGCGCCTCTACATATTTTTCACATTAACTATTTTTCCATAATGCATTCCAGTCTAGTCTTTACCATTTTAGGTCTTTGCTTTGTTCCTCTACGAGGAAGCCAGCCGTTGACTTAAGTCAACCAAATAAGCGCTTTATGTATTCCCACCCCTAAGCCAGTTTAAGGTGAGAATACATAAAACGCTTTTATGAGAGGCTTTAAGGTGTGGGTGCATAAGCAACTTGAAGTCTTTGCATGGCATATTTTGTGACATTTCATAAAATGATTCCAGAGCCACACTTGAGTTCCACCGTCGTTTCCCCTTATAATTTGACATTAATATGCCCAGCCATGACTTCAAGCTTCTTCGATTGGCTTCTTCATAGAGGAACAGAGCAAAGACCTAAAATGGTAAATGCTAAACAAAATGCATTTTGAGCTCTAGAATAACAGCTCATGACAGGACCATGTTAAAATAAAAACCACATTTTTAGAAAAAAAAAAGACAAATAAATGTTTGAAAAATCAAAAAATAGGATTTCAAAATTCTACTCCATAGACTTTCCCAATTAATTACATATTGCCTAAGCGGTTTAAATCGCTTAACATTGCTAACTATGTTGTTACGATATCATTACAACAGAGGTATTTTCACAGGGTTGCCATATTTTGACTCTGTCTTGTCCCATCTTTAAACAAAGGAGTTTTAGGTTGACTTAGTTCGATTTTGACCCTTCGCTCCTTTTTCTTTCCCGAAGAAGCCAGCCGATGACTTAAACCAGTCAAACGAGCGTTTTATGTGCTCTCCCATTTGTGTACTCTCACCTTTAACAACAAGTTCGAATGAACTTCACTTAAATTGCCATTTGCCATTTGTTTTCTTAAAACCCAATAAACATTATCAGAAATATTGCCGTAATTATTTTCAAACATTCAAATAGCGATATCCGATTTCTTGAATTACCAATTTTGAATTGATTGGTTGAATGGTCTACATGATTCATTCATTCCATTCCATTTTCATTTTTCCCACAACCATGACCTATGGTTGTGCGATCTTGTCGTAGCGTAATCTGCTCAAAAACTAAAAAAAAGTACTGACGGTCAAGTCGTTGCTCGTTGTTACTTTTTTCTCGCGTTGTTACTTCGTCGCCAGAAAACGACGCTCATAAATATTCGATGTCACTCCAAATAAAAGTTTGACAAAATTGATGAGTTCTCTCCATGGCGATAAAGATTAAGATTTCTATTTTTTTTTACGAAGCAAGCTTCTTGCTAATAATTTTATAATTGGCGTTTGTTCGTTTATTGTCAGATAACTTGGTTATTGATATGATTACGGAAAATGTGTCTGACTGTGAGCGGCATGAAAAATGCGCTATAGACAAAACAAAAACAAAAAACATGGTTCCAGTATGGTTTAATTTGTCTTGTATTTCAGTTGCTGTCGAAATAATGTATTGACGATTAAACGAAGAACCAAAAAAAAAAAACAACAACTATCAGTTGCCGCAAACTCAGGCAGTGCTCAGTTTTTAGACAACACTTTATAGTCAAGAATTTTTTCTTCAGTTAACGGCGAGAGCGTGTCTAGTAGGAAACGTGATTTTTCTACCAATTTCGAACTTTGCCAATAAATAAATTATTAACAATTTCCGAAGTTGTAAATGAACAGCAAAACGTAAAAACTAACAACTAAAACCGCAGCACATTTCAAATGTTTTACATTAACTATTTTCGCGTATTTGTTTACATGCAAACGAGACAAATTTCGTGGGCATAAGTGTGAAACTCGGTGCCACCGCCGCTTAACGAAAACAAACCTGCTCAAACATGGTCAATTTACTTTTAGCATTTTCTCGCTTAGCCGAATCCACAAGATCCGCTCCGCAGCGAAAGCAAAAAAAGCGCACGGAATCGTCGTCAGCGGAGGCGGCGGCGACGACAAAGGCGTCAGATTCCACCACAAATCCGTATCCTGATGATAAGTCATTAAATAACTGTGATAACGATTCGACTAACACTGCTAACGACGGCCAAAGGATGATGTCACCGAAGCGTATGATCCTATTATTAATTTTCTACATATCGTATTTGATGTTTGGCGCCAGTATTTACTATCATATTGAACATGGTCTGGAGTATCATCGACGACAGGAGGAGCTTAAAGAGCGTATAGCTATAAACGGTAAGTACATAGTTATGGGACAACAGAAGTCTTACAAGATTGGTTGATGGTATGAATTTTAAAGTGAACCATTCACGAATATTCCATGTATATGTGTGTAAACACAGTATAGGTCTGGTTTCTTCATAGAGGAACATGGTAGAAGAATATAGGTAGAAGCATCGACACAGCTGCTGGGACAATGAACTGCCAAACCAATATTGGTATTGAAAATGTTGAATGTAAAATTATTTCAATTTGTAAAAATTGTTGAAAACGCGGATTATAATAACCTCCGAAAGGCGTCGTATAAGAAAACATATAAAAATCTAATTATATTTGAAAAAAAAATTTTTTGACATATCAATGCTCCCAAGCAATTATTTGAGATGGGTGCGGATTGGGCACAATCCTCATAGCGTTGTATCTTACCAACTGATAAGGTCCATGTAAGACAAAGAGCTTTTTCACTGGTTTAAGTCATCGGCTGGCTTCTTCGGAAATGGACAAAGGAGCGAAGGGCCAAAATCGAACTAAGTCAACCTAAAACTCCTTTTTTCAAAGACAAAGAAGTATGAAGATAGAACAAGACAGAGTCAAAATATGGCAACCCTGTAAAAATACCTTTGTTGTTATAATATCATAAGCAAGTGTTAACTGATTTAAACCGCTAAGGCAATATGCAATTTTTTAGAAAGGTCTATGGTATAGAATTTTGAAACCACATTTTTGGATTTTTCAAACTTTTATTTGTCATTTTTTTCTACAAATGTGTTTTTTATATTAATAGCTGTTATTCTAGATGGTATAGACACAAACCATCTGCTCAGAATGCATTTTGTCTAGTCTTTACCATAACAAAGGAGTTTTAGGTTGACTTAGTTCGATTTTGGCCCCATGACTTACGCCAGCCAAATAACCGCTTTATGTATTCCCACCTTTTTCTTCTTCTTTCTCGAAGAAGCCAGCCGACGGCTTAAGCCAGAAAAAGGGTTTTATCATGGTAGAATTACAGAAAATAGCTGAGCCTGGATATCCTTATTTGAAAAAATTTTTGCATTTCGATCTCAAATGTCAATTCCATAGGGTATACGTCATTTATGAATATAATTTACGAGACGTATAAGCTATATAATTGGCATTTGAAATCGAGTGTATTAAATGTCTAAAAGTGCTTTAAGGAACATAAAAATACTGCTCAGCTGACGTTTGTTTACGTAAACATAAACAACTGAAAGAGAAGAAGAGAGAAGATAAAGTATTCATTCTCATTAGTGACCGCAAGAATAGTAATGAATATTCCAATGTATTATGATCATGGTAGAAGAATAAATGTAGATATGTCAAAATTTTTTGAATTAAAAAGAGGAGATTTTTATATGTTTTCTTATACGACGCTAATCGGAGGTTGTTATGATATGCATTTTCCAACAATTTTAACGAATTTGAATAATTTTTTATTCAAAATTTTCATTTTTAAAATTTATTTGACAGTTCATTGCCACAGCAGCTATGGCGATGCGTCTACCTGTATTTTGGAAGTGAAATTTACGATTGAAAAATTATTTAACATTATCATAACATCCTCCGATTGGAGTCGTATAGGAAAACATATACAAATCTACTTTTTTTTGTAAAACATTTTAAACATTTTGACATATCAATGTTCCCAAGCTTTAATGCATCTACCTGTATTCTTCTACCATGGTTTTCTCCATTGGTGAAAATGACGTAAGAAAACCCAATAAATATGATCTACTGTGTGATTTGAGAATGGTTATTGCGAACCGTTCACAATGCACGTGTGTAGTACGAATTCTCTTTTTTTTATAAATAGCTGTACTAATTTTCAAACACTTTCAAACTGCCAATGGCATCACTGTTTAACCTCTCTTAGCTTTTAATAAAAGCTCATAATCCTCAGCTGGGCTGGTAACTTGCGTGATTAATTAGATCATTTTTATTGTGTTGATATAACAAATTAACACATATTTTATGGCTATTAAACCCCCACCAATAAAATCGTGCCAAGTTTCCAACAACAACAACGAGAAAAGAAAACGTTCACAAGTTTCAAAAATCATGTCGTATATTATAATAACTACGCACGATTTCCGTTGAACACAATACCCCAAGGTATGTCTGGCAAAATATAAATAATCGATATTTATAATCAGTGATTGAGTGTTGGTTATAAATAAATCAAACTACTGTCATTTAGGAAAAAAAATCACAGTCCATCCAAATCAATTTTATGGGCCCACGTCTTTTTCTTTCTGTAACACTTAAACTGTCAAAAACCATGACTAGAAGCCTAACATACTTACCACCTTCGCTTCGGTGTAGTTACATATCAGTGCTATAAAGAATTTTATTCATACCATAAAGATGTCGTTTATTGCATGGACTTTATCTCCATTTATCGAAAGTAACCATAAACGGCGCTTGTGAAATACTCTTGACGTAAAATTAATATATTATGGTTGTCTATTGAATTTATTATTGATAACATAATTCTTTTGATTGAAAGGTATTCTCAAATGTATGACAAAATATGATAAATAATTTAAATTATCTCCGTAACATTAATTTACTTAAGTCTGCTTTATAGTGACATCTTAATTACGCGTTTTTCGAAGATTTGTTTATTTGACACGTAATCAAAAAAACTCAGTGGATTTCAACTGTCAATTCCATTGCGTATACGTCAAATGAAATCCAAGGGATTTGAGAGTCGACTTCATTTGACGTATACACAATGGAATTTACAGTTGATCTTCTCGATTTAGTAAATGTAAACGTACTTTGTAAAACAAGTTTTATGAAAACATATTCGGTGTAAGCATGGTAGAAGTATATAGGTAGACGCATGGTAGAAAAATATAGGTAGACGCGTCGACACAGCTTCTGGGACAATGAACTGTCAAACCAATTTTGGAATTGAAAATGTTGAATGAAAAATTATTTAAATTTGTAAAAATTGTTAAAAAAACGCGAATTATAATAGCCTCCGAATGACGTAGTATAAGAAAACATATAAAAATCCACTTATATTCGAAAAAACATTTAAATTTTTTTGACATGTCAATGCTCCCAAGCGTTGATGCATCTACCTGTATTCTTCTGCCAAGAGGTAGACGCGTCGACACAGCTGCTGGGACAAAGAACTGTCAAACCAATTTTGGAATTGAAAATGTTGAATGAAAAAGTATTTAAATTTATAAAAATTGTTAAAAACGCGAATTATAATAGCCTCCGAATGACATAGTATAAGAAAACATATAAAAATCTACTTGTATTTGAAAAAAAAAATATTTTAATTTTTTGACATATCAATGCTCCCAAGCGTTGATGCATCTACCTGTATTCTTCTGCCATGGGTATAAGTATGCATGCTAGGAGAATACAGATAGATACATCAGCGCTTATTTACATATAATAAATCCAGTGGATTTCAAATGTCAATTCCATGGCGTATACGTCAAATGAAATCCAAGGGATTTGAGAGTCGACTTCATGTGACGTATACGCAATGGAATTTACAATTTATCTATTCGATGTAATAGATGTAAACGTATTTTATAAAAGACGTTTTATGAAAAGTGGTTCGGTGTAAGCATGGTACAATAAGGAGGTAGAACTAGCTACAGAAATACAGCCCTTAGGCTATGCCCGCTTCTTGTCAAATTTGCATGCAAACAAGTTGTTTTAATTTATTCAATATTTTTCCTCATTTTTAAAACAAGTTAAACAGCGCGAAATATGAATGAAATGCCTGGATTTTCTTTCAAAAATATGATCTAAATATTTCGATCTTTCTATTACATGGCAAAACTGGTGAATAGCTTCAATGCGCGTCCCGCAATGTATGCGTCTTCCAATAATTTATTTATTCCCAGCTTTAGGGTGGAAATACAAAAAGCGCATATTTGGCTGGCTTAAGTCATCGGCTGGCTTCTTCGTAGATGAACAAACGAGTTTTAGGTTAACTTAGTTCGAATTTGGTCCTAGGCTCCTTTGTGCATTTACGAAGTCAGCCGATGATTTAAGCCAGCCATATAAGCGCTTAATGTATTCCCACCTTTAAGCCAGTAAAAAAAGTGTTTTATGTATTCTCACCCTTAGTCTACCAGGTTTAAATGAGGAAGACGATAGAGAGTACAGGGTGGCATAAAAAACTGCAACAAAGTCAAACGTCATAATTTTGACATTTTTAAATTTTATTGAATGACAGCAAAAAGTGTCGGAAATAGCATCAAATTTTAGAATAAGTTTAGATTGGTTCGAATTGGTCACCTTTGGCACAAATTATGGTCTTAAAACGGCCAATAAAACCGTCACACGCTGCCCGAATGTTGCTCTCTGGTATATTGGCCCATTCCCGGCAAATCGCTTGTTTGAGGTGATCGACGCTTTGGTATTTTTTAGTGCCAACCTTGCTTTCCCAAATACTCCAGGCACAACAGTCCAACGGATTGGTATCTCCGGATACCATGGTGACCATTATGCGCTGAAAATGAAGCAAAGAACCTCATTTCGTAACCATTCCGGGGTGGCGCGTGCTGAGTGCGATGGTGCTGAATCCTGTTGGAATGTCCAAGGTCTGCGGCCAAAATCTTTACGTGCCCACGGCTTTAATACACCCTCCAGAATATTTTCGTGATAATATTCGGCATTTGTTCTGACGCCACGGTCGATTAATACGAGCGAAGAGCGACCATCGGCTGTTATGGCGGCCCACCGAAGGTGCACATTTTCAGCTGACCTCTTTGACAAGTAAACACGACCATTTTGTTTGTTTACAAACCGCTGGACAACAAATGTTTTCTCATCGGAGAAAACCAAATTCGGCAGTTCACCACTGTCGGCCAAGCGAAGCAAATCTTTAGCTCTTTTGAGTCTATTTTCTGCGATGTAAGTTCTTGCACTTTTTGGAATTTCAATGGCTTTACCGCAAGCTCATTTTTCAATATTTGCCGAATGGCATATTACGATATGTTCAGCTCACGGGTCATTTTTCG